GCAATTATTTCTTTGTTTATAAAATTGCACCTTTAACCCTTGGGCAATTATGCAATTATAAAATTGCATTTTCAATCCCCATAATATTATTTTTAATTACAATCCCTAATAACATTTATTCTTTCATTAAATTAAGTCCCTAAAATTAAAAACAAACTCCCTAAAATATTAAAAATATTTACTAGAGAATTTTGGGATGTTACACTGGGGAAATTGGGTAGCCAAGATCTACGACTGGATGTTACTACCTACGATAGGTGACACAGGTTCAGAAAAATGGGTAGTGCTGATAGTGTGCTATGGCTAGACGGCACTGCCTGCGATAGGGGATGCAGATAGGGAAAATATAGGTATTGGGGAAGAGATATAGGCACTAAATGGGAAAATGCTGGCGGGGATGCAGGAATGGAAGTCGGGTTTTTCTAAGGTGAGAACCACAATCATGAGGGTGAAAAATACCATGACCTATGGCTAGTGGTTTTGGATGAAATTGGGTGCCAACTTGTGCCACTTGTACAATATGCATGAGGAAGCAAAGTCTAACTTGACCACTATGATAGAAACATTAGTAGAGGTGTCCAACCCCGCCCCGAACCCATCTCGTTGCCATCCCTTCATCTATTTGCATATAAGTTGTAGAGATTGTCTATTTGCATTGAAAGGAACATGCTAGTTAGCATGGAGTTGGAAAGGGATAGGTTCATTCCAATATCACAACTTACAAGTGTAGAGATATACAACTTATGGGCCAAGGAAGAAGATGGTAACTTACAATCAATAAAGAACCATGGATCAAATAAATCCTAGCCATTGATGCCAACTTGCCTAGCAAGAGTTTGCCTATAAATAGAGGTGTTTGGTCATTTGTAAAATTCATGAATGGGGAGTTGAGAGTAAATTCCCAGGGATGGAATGGGCATAAAATGGATTGAGTGATGTCTTGTAGAGAGAGAATATTTGAGAGTATGTAAATAGTTTTCTCTTACATTGATAAAAAGAAGTTGTCCCAAATATATGTATGTACTCTTTTCCTCAAAAAATTCCATCTACCATCTCTACTAGAAGGTTGAATTATCATAGGGGTTTAAGTTTGACTTAATAGTATCTAGTGAAGACGAGAGTTGTGGAGCTTTAAGGCTATACAGTACTGGTGTAGTTTGGGAGTGACAAAACTAGGCCCGTGACACTAAGCTCTCATCTCTCTAATCAATTGCTGTGAATTGACCACGGACAATTTATCTATCGATACATCTACATTTGCTACGTACTGTTTTGGTAATATATGAATCTGCGCAGCTTGACAAATATTGCTAATCAAACTCAAAAATAAAATAGTGTTGTGAAGGTTTGTCTGCCCTGCCTAACAATAGATGAATATGTAAATAAAGTTGTTGAGGTCTATTCTATGCACGTGTACTAAAAGTTACAAGAAGCAGGCTTGACCATCGATCATATTTGTCTTGTATAATATAGGATCAATATTGTAGCTCACAAACATGTGGAGAATCATGAAGGACTTCATAAGATGATTGTGCTCGAACTATTTCAAGCCATGTTTAGTGGTAGTGGTCAGACTTGAGAATTTATATGTCACGATTAAAGTTCACAACAAACTATTGGACTAAAGGTAAGTAGACCAGATGTTAGCAGTAACTACTTTCTTACAATCAATATTATAAATTAAATGTGCAATATCAAAATTCAAGAAGTCTATCAAAACCAGCCTTCGTTGTGGCCACAATTTTCATTGGGATACTACTTCAAAAAAATTGAGTGCTATGCTCCAATCAGAGGAACCATTGTATACCACTGTCATCCAATCGAGTACATGTCATAGAAGAGGACCTGATAGACTTACCCTTACCTTTGTTCTTCATTGGTGGATCTTTGTGTTTTTTTACTATTTTACTAGATAACAAAGAGTTTTCTATCATTAGATATATATATATATATATATATATATATATATATATATATATATATATATATATATAA